GGGAAAGAGGTCCTCACGCTTTCAGGAAGAGAGATGGCAGCCTCCCACAGACCCCCCAGGTCCTCGCCAGGAGCTGCTGGGGGAGTGGGGATGAAAGGGAATTGCAGAGCAGGACAGTGATTGCCAATGCAGTCAGGGCTATCGATTGCAGCACAAGCACAGCCTGGGGCCCTGGGCAGCACAGGGTCGTGTGGGAGACCCTCACTATCTGCTGCCCCTGGGGCAGCTCCCGGAGAACAGTCTCCCCTGGCCCAGCGTGGGTCTTGGAAACTGTGGGCAAGGTGTGTGGTAGAGCAAGGGGTCACATCAAGCCTCTTCCACCACAGCAATGAGGGGAGCCAAGGTCACCCCCCTGCACCCTGCCAGCGCTGTTGGCATTCAGGGCAGGTCCCACTCACACTGTGCTAAATATTAATGTTTCTGCTTGTGAGTGGTTGGGGTGCAGCATGCACACATGCCTGTGAACCTCTCTGACATGCTTCAGAGGCATACATGGGGGTCCCAGTGCCTCCTGGTCCTGCAGGGGTGGGTGCATCACTCCCTCCCTTGCTGGCCACACCAGGATCTGTCCCCTGTGCCAGAGCAGGGCCATGCCTAGCTCCACTGCGTGCTGGGCTCCAGCTGTGATGCACCAGTTATGTGCGTTTGTCTGGTACGCCTGTTTTTTACTGTTACAGATGCATGTGCTGCTGCATCCACACAGTACCCCAAGACAAGAATTCTTGGTTTTGCTGCTCTCAAGCCCTTTGTGCACTTTTCTCCACACATGTGGGGCTGTGCAGGGCTGCCATGTGTCTGCAGGCACCTATATGTCACTCCATGTGTGCTGGAGCAGCCAGAAACGGATGCAGGAAGGGCTGGGGGCGGCTGTGGAGGGACTAGGAACGCTCCCAGTGCCGGCATCAATTTGGCTTGTCAGGACCAGCAGTGATGGCCACTCAGATCCCATTTGCTGGCGGGGGCTAAGCGCCATCAGCTGCTCCCCCGAGACCCACAGTCACCTTGGCAGAGGGGAGTGGATCAGCACAGGACTGGCTGCCCCAGTGAGCACTGTGATGAGCTCCCAGCACCCCAAGAACATGACCATGACTGTTGGGGTACCACCTGAAGGTAAAAGAGCCCCTGCCTGTGCCAGGAGCAAAGTACTGGTGGCAGCCCCCACCAAAGGCCCTGTCCCTACAGCCACACCCTCCCCACACCCAGCTCTGAGCCATCCCCCCCCTTGGTGGGGTCAGTGGCAAAGCAGGCACCACTCTGTGGACTGGGGTCTCCAGCTCTCCCCACAGGCACAGGATAAGTCCAGTCTCTTTCCTGTCACCCTGCTGCCTTCATTAGTGCAAGGAGATTAATTGGAGGTGGTAAGCAACAATCCCCGCAGGCCCACTCCCCCCGGCACAGCACAGCCCGGGGCGGTGTGGCATTTCCAAAGGTTAGCAGCAAACAAGGTGCCTCTGACAGCTCCCATTTATCTCACTGGCGCTGCGCGGGTGCTAATGCGGTGGCAGGGTGACGCGGTGCAGCGGTGGGCTCTGCCAGGAAGGACCCAAGCACGCGCCAAGCGTGCCAAGGCACACAACGCACAACTGTGTGTGGGCGAGAGCAGAGTGAGCTCCGAGTGTGTGAGTGCACACGCCCGTGGGTGCCCACAGGCCGGCACCGAGATCCCCCAGTGCTGTCCTGGCCCAACGTGCACCCGCAGCAAGCAGGCAGGTGAATGCAACAAACACCAGCTGCTGCTCATGTACACACGGGCCACTCTGCATGCAGCTGAATGTTATAGGGGAGGGCTGGGGGCTGCCAGACATGTGGGGTGTCACAGGCAGAGGGTGCAGGAATGGGGTGCAGGACAGTCTCTGGAGGAAAGGCAGAGGCCCCATCTCATGCTCACAAGGGCAACAGGAAAAACCCGTTGGCTGTCCCACTGACTCCCAGCACAGACACTTGAAAGCCCATCCTGGCCAGCAGCTCCAGGCTGGGGTGCCCAGAGCAGAGAGGCTGGCTCTGCTTGGTGCCTACCTCCCCACCTTTGCCAGCACCAGCCCTGCTACGCA